ACGCTCCATCAACAATGACAATTTAGGAGATACCCATTACAACTCTTTATTAGTCCTTATTAGTGTGTTGGTTAACCACACACGCTCCACCAACGACTTATAAAGTTTAATGTGCAATTTCATTGGTTAGCATACTAATTCACATTTTTCCTAAAGTGACCAGATTTGAGATTTTTAAGTAAAAGGTTCTAGTACTTTTAATAGCACAATACTTTTAATGATATCTACTTGTCCTATCAAATCCTTTCTACTAACGATTCTCTACTAATCAATGAAGCGGTGGGTGAGAGTGCACACCCATTCAACTACCATTTTATAGGCAGTTTCCTTATACCCCTTTATAGACTATCTTCGTGAATGAGGAATACTAGCGATTTGTCTGACTAATTCTTATACTACATATAATATATTAACAATTAATATTATAGATAAGGTGTATTTTAAACTTTTCAAAATACATGGTTTATTTAATTTTAAATTTCAAAGATTAAGATCAGTTAATTTAAATTTAAAATAAACCAAAAAATTTGATTTTATATTTATCTTTTAATTATCAATTAATATATTAAATCAAATAATGATTAACTAGTTAAATTAATCAAATAATTTGATCCTAATCCTAACCTTCTAATTTTCGAAAATTAGGGTGTAGCAGTTATCCAATTTTATAATTATCCCTTTTAATCAAATTAAACTAACATTATCTACAATGCGAAACACTAACAAACTAACCTTTTTCGAAAGCTTTGGGAGGACGGATAGGGTTTCAAAACCCAAATCCTCAATTTCCAAATCCAAGGAAAGGGGCCATGGTTTTGAAAAACCCTACCTCTAGTCAAATTCTTGGCCTTTTAGGGTTTAATTTCTATAAACCCTATTTATCAAATTCAAAAATTATAACAATTCAATTGAAAACAAAGCAAATTATCTAATACCACTGATAGGTTTTATGTAAAACAAACAAACTTAAAACCTTTAAGTTCACATGTAGCCTAAGGATCTATGTTTTCATTATTGAACCTATAACTAAGAACATCAAATAAGAAATCCTAAAAACCCTAGGTATACTTTGAAAATCTTAAACGGTTTAGGTTTCATACCTTGTTTTTATTATAGTAAATAACAAGATTTCATTCACTTATAGATCTCTTGGAAGCAAGCACCACAATTGTCGTGCCTCTAATAGATCACACCCAAACTAGCAAGAAGCATGACTATAGAGAGAGGAGAGGGGAGAGTATAGTTTCGACTATCCATTGAGGAGAAGGAGTGTCCGAAATTAGGAGGCCTTAGGGTCATTATATATTGGCACAAGGAAACACTAGATAACCCCTGTTTAAATATTAAATTAATATTTCAAATATGGTATTTATCTCATTCCTTATTTATCCACATGAGATATTCTAGAAACCTTAGAATATCCTCTCAAAACCATCCACCACTAGGGTTGGAAGGTTCATGAGCCTTTTGGTCAACTATTGAACAATTACCCTTATACCGTGTACTTTTAATTAATTCCATTAATCCCAAAATTAATTCTAATTAATTTTTGATCAAATATTAATTACATAATATCTTTTCTAATTAGTATATTATTTACATAATATATTAATAAACTATTTATTTCAATTTATTAATCACATAATAAATTAATCTTTCTCTCTCTAAAAGTTAACATGTCCGATTGCTAGCTTTGAAGGCAACCCAAAAGGATTGTGCTGCTATAAATTCAATTATATACCAATTATAGTTTAGGGGTTAGACACCTAATCCAACACAACTTGTGTTAGGTATGACGTTTGAGAATCCTTAAACAACTCAAACACATGTTATGTAATTATGTAGTTGCTAATAATGGTTATCAGATATATTTTATGAAAAATGATAGTAGAAGGTTGTTAGTTAAATGTGGTAATGGATGTTGTACTTTTAGGCTTTTAGGCGTCATAGATGAGTGATGATCAGTGTTTCTAGATCAAGTCTCTTATAAGTGGCCATAATTGTGCCAATAATTTCAGATTTGAGTCAATTGTCACTTACAGATTGATAGGAACCCCTTTCACTCAAGAATTTATAAACAATGAGAAGATGAGTGTTAGGATGCTTAGAGAGGAGGTGAAAAACACATTTGGTGTTGAAGTGAGTATCAGTTACTGTAGGAGAGCCAATAAATATGATTTAAGTCTAGTCGAAGGTATAGTTGCAGACAATTATGCCAAGTTATGGTCATATGGCGAGGAGATTAAAATATTAATTCTAGGTTCAACTATAAAAATTTCAAGGGATGTAATGTCTGATGGTAAAAATTACTTCATTTAGATTTACATATTTTTTAACGAAGTGAAAGAGGGTTGTAGGTCAGGATGTAGAAGGATTATTAACCTAGATGGTTGTTTTCTGAAAAGTTCTTGTTAGAGTGAGTTATTTTGTGCTGTGGGTAGGGATGCTAACAATAGAAGTTTTCCTATGGCTTGAGCAGTTATAAGTGTAAAGAAAAAATACATTTGGAAGTGGTTTAATGAGAATCTTTTAGAAGACTTGAATTTTGCATGTTAAGTAATTGGGCTTGTGCTAATATCTGATCAACACAAGGTATGGGACATTTTGTTAGTGTATTACTATACATGCTTTGTAAATCTAAATTTATTATATGCTTGTGTGTATGTAGAGTTTGGTTGAGGCAGTGAAGGAAGTCTTACCAACTACAGAATACAAGCATTGTCCAAGTTATATGTATGTCAACTTTAGAAAGACATTTTATGGAGCACAATTTTAGAACATTTTCTAGAGGGCCAGTAAAGCAACTACTGAAGAACATTTCAATGCAACCACGAAGGATATTAAACACATAAATCTTGTTGCCTATATTCATCATATGGAGAAGGATCCAAGAACATGGTCTTTAGCTTTCTTCGAAGTTCACGATGCCTCTTGTGAATATGTGGATAATGGATACTTAGAAAATTTTAATAGTATTTTACTGGATGCTAAAAAGAAACCCATTATCAGTATGTTAGAAGACATTCGCCTTTATTTCTTGCAAAGGATGGTGAACATGCAAGTGTCGGGACAAGGATGGAACCGTTTGAATGTATATCCGAGCATTAGAGACAAGTTGAATCTGTTAAAACATAAACAAAGGTATGTAACTATACAACTAAAAGCATAATAAATATTCAACATATGTAATGATTTGTGTCATTTGTTTTGCATGACTGTAGGAATTGGCAAGTGATTTCTTATAGGGTGAAGAAATTTGAAACAAGAAACATGGACCAATCTTATGTTTTAGATATTCCTAAGAAGTAATGCACATGCAGGCTATGACAATTGAATGTATATGGTTGTGTACATTCAGTTGCAACATTATCGTTATTAAACTCCAACCATGATGCACAAAATATAGACCCACTATATGTGGAATCCTTCTACCATAATTCATACAAAAAACCCATACATGGTATGCATGGAAGCAACATGTGGCCTCCAACAGAATACATCCCTCCTTTTCCCCCAATATAAGGAAGGATGCATGGAAGACCAACCTTTAAGAGGAGAAGGCATGGTTCTGAAAGTACTGGAAGACATACTGTATCAAAAGCAGGGAAACCTGTATGTTGTGGTATATGCAAAAAAATAGGAGACAACAAGACTAAATGTCCTTAAGTTGAAAGGCCTCCTAAAACTAGTGTTAGGAACAAAAAATATGTCACATAAACAAACGAGTCAGTGAACATGGAAAAGGATGTAGCAGAGGAAGAAGGGCATGTTGGTGAACTAAAACAACCAAGGAAGAGGAAGAAGTATGAAAGAATCATTAGAATGAAGCTGGAAAAAGGAGTTGAAGGTAAAGGTAGCAGTTCAGTAAAGGCTATGGAATTGGATTAGTGTGGGTGTAGTGTTTGTGTGTAGGGTATTTATCTACTATTTTACTTATGTGATGTTTTAAACATTCACTGCATGGATATTTATGTCATTTTCTATGTTGTTATGTTTGAAACAATGAATGATGAGTTACTTTATGTCATTTTCTATGTTGTTATGTTTGAAAGAATGACTTAAGGGGTATTTATGTCATTATCTTTCTTGTTATGTATGAAACAACCAGTACGGGGGTATTTATGTCATTTTTTATGTTGTTGTAACTGAAAAAATGAATGCAGGGGTATTTGGGGAATTTATTATGTTGTTGTAACTGAAACAATGAGTATATGGGTATTTATGTCATTTTTATGCTCTTAAAACTTCAATAATGAGTGTAGGGGTATTTTTTCCATTAAAAGTTATAGTTAAATGTTGTAAAACATGTTTCCAAAAGTGACCCTGAATAGACCAAAGTTGTCCCACATCTGCTCACATATTATCAAATTCTATGTTCCCTTAAAATGGAACACTGCCCCTTAAATTCGAAAATAAAACACATTACAAACCTTGTGGCCCTAGTTACAACATGGATTTTGTTTTGGTATAATTTTGTTTTAATTCCATTTTTACATGTTTTGTGCATGTGCAAAATGGGTATTTGTTGTATTTTTATAGGGGTTTGAGGGCCCTACTGTCCTTTTCTTTTACCATATTTAGCATGCAAGATTCACACATTCTGATGGTCCCAACACTGCATATGAAACAAATGAAGTTTTTGAACAACATATGCAAAAGTATGTAATTTTAGTCCTATATATTGCCGTGACCTATATTAAAATAAGAATAAGGGAACAAAACTCAGATTAAGTTAATAAGTTTTCATTAATTTGTATTTCGAAATTACATGATCACTTACACCATTTACTTACTAAGTATCACTAAAAAACCAACATAGTTGCATCTCAGTTTCATACCACATGCACAAAAAGATGCTATATCGGAACAATGGAGAACTAAAATACTACCTAAAAACAAAAAATGATCATACCACACAAACGAAGCATGTACCAACAAAACCCAACCATTTTACCCCAAAAGAACCAAAACCCAAACCTAGAAAACTAAGTACTCCTTATTTAGAGGTACTTGTTGGCTGCCAGCACGACACCCACAATAGGTATGACCGCGAACACACCTATGAATACACACAACTTCTCCTTCATTGCCATTATGTCAGCGGTGGCATTCACATATGCTGTTCGAAAAGAGAAAATATGGTTCACGAGGTCGTTTATTATGTGGGACATATCAAGCTTGCCTGCCCTCACATCTTCCACTTCACGATCCAGCTCATCTATCTCGAGACGTAAGGAGTCCCTAATCTGAAATAAGGCCCTATTCACTTTGTCTCTGATCATAGAGATGCATAACTGCATTTGAAGTAGTGTTATGGAGATGTCTTCAGGTTGGACTCCGTTTCACCCATTTGTAGGGAGGTAGCGGTGATCTTTAAACGACCAACTAATGGTGGGGAGGGGGGAGTCGAAGACATGCATTTTCTTCATAGTTAGGGTAGGAACTTATGTGGTTAATTAGGGCAACATGTTTTTTGGGGGATGATCCTTTTAGGGCATGAAGAAGAGCTATATAGGCAGACGAGTTATGAACAGTCATAAGAAGCTTGGTCATTAAGAGTCTCTAATCAAAACGATGCCATTTGATCGAAGTAGACGCTTATACGTATTAAATTGATTACGGGTCCATCTGACTAAATGAACAGGTCACATATAACTTTCTTCCATTAAAAGGCACGAAAATAACATAAGGAATTGAAAATGAAAATGTGGAATACATTTTAGGGCTACATGGTCATTTTCCCTAAGTTACTACCCCAAATTTACCACGTGCCCCGGGGGGGGGGGAGGGGGACCTTGCATTAGTATGAAAATGAAAGGAGCAAACCTGTAAGTATACAAACGCTTTGTGGCCAAAATGTGATACCTAAAAAAGTATAGGTCCAAACATGGTTATATACGGAAGTATATGGATCAAACTTGCCAATATATGAAAATCTTGCGTCAAAGTATGAAATCCAAAAAGTCTAGGCACCAAAACTAAAAATATATACAATTATTTTGGCCAAAATTTGAAACTAAAAACTCTTGGAGTCAAAAGTACAAAGATAAATAAACTATTGTGGTTAAAACTCCCAAACTATACTATTCATTTATCATATGATATTAGATATATAATAATATGATGAAAGATCTACTAATATTCTTTCCATTTACCCTTACAAAATATCTTTTTTCATAGGTTAAATGTTTTCAAAATCCGAGTATTTTTTTCTTTTGATATCTATCGCATCATAATAGAACTTAAGCATCATGAATATTTTCATAAATTCTAACGTCCACCTATTATAACACTTAATATCATGTTACTAAGGGCGTGTTCGGAAAACCTAGCATGTAGCATTTTGTTGAACGCTACGTGAAGTAGCTTTTGAATTTGCAGCGTTTTGTTTAAACTAAATGCTAGAATCTTGTAGTGCCAAATGAGGGTTTTTGTTTAAAACGGAGTGTTTTGTCAAACACTAAAAATAAAAGCTCTCAAACACTCCCAAACGCTCTGTGCCGAATACGCGCTAAGAGAAAAATTCAGATTATGAAGCTATGAGATTAGCTTGGACCATTAGTACATCACTACATAATGAGTCTACAACTTCATATTTACTAAATTGTTTTTTCCCTTACACCATTTTATAATATCAAAATTTTCAAAATCTTCGACAGTTACATTAGAAGTATAGGTACTTGCTATATTATAATAAAGCTTTTGTAAAGATGTTAGAATTCTTAAACATGCTAATTGGAAATAGTCATTAAAAAATGAGGATGTGGATACTCATTAAATCGGGATGATATAAAATAATCTCTATTTTGATGAATTTTTGAGACCTTAGGACCATTGTTGTAAGACTCGCCGAGTTGGCCGATTACTAGGCCAAGTACTCCATACTCGGCCCCTTGCTGAGGCGACTTACATAATCCGTGTAATCCCCGATATGCCCCTTACCGAAGCAAGCAGTGCTGTAAAACTTGGACAACCCGGTGATTAATATGTATAATATACTTTTTGATCATTACTACATATATATCTTAAATTTCCAATAATTATTCACGAAGTGAGACCATTGTGTGTTTTTTTTCAGTTTTCATGTATTCACATGTATCTTATGTTGTTATATATTTCAATCAACTTATGACTTGAGCTTATGATTTTGACATATATAATTTCCCTAAAAATATTTATATAGGAATTACCGAATCTGAGTACTCTCCGAGTACTCCTGAGTACTCCCGAGTATTCTCTACTCGGTAGTCGGCCGAACAGGCTGCAATTAGCGAGTTCTACAACCTTGCTTAAGACAAAAGGCTGTGATTCACTCTTTGAATCATGAGTAGAATGTTTGAGAAATTTTTTAAGATAAGAGTTGTGAACATGGTTAAGTTTATTCACGAGGATTTTAAGTAGCTCAACAATAATATAGATGTGGAATAAATATATTTAATTACGAGATTTATAAGAACAACAATTAAAACTTGAATGCAAGACAAGATATAGAAAATATCTTAAATCTTTAACTTAAACTTGCTTGCAAGATTTAAGTTAATATGTTATAAACAATAGTATGTTGATGAACATTTTCAACGTTATATTTCAGATAAAATATTTCAAGTTATCTTTCTTTTCAATCAAAAGTCATACTTTCTACTTACCCCTAACCCCGCAATATACACTTAAAAAGTACATATGAATTGAGAAAGGCATGATTAAGTATGATGGACAAATAACAATATTTAGCAGGTCATACTAACGATATCTAAACAAAAGATCCTACATAATTAAAATAATCAAACACCTTCTATATGAGCATTCGTAATCCGATGGATTTGAAAGAGTCGCGAGAACTTTTTCTCACAAATATTATGGGTTTTGAGCATAACAAACAAAAACCTATGTGTGCATGAAACCCTAATCATGATCTATGTTTTCTCTAATTGAACATACAACTTTTGAACATCAAATGAAAAAAAACATACCTTAAGTATTATATAGCAATAACAATGTAAAACTATAGTGTTGATGAAGTTTAGAGAGCAAGCACCACAAGTGTCGTGCCTCTAGTAAATCACACCCAACACTAGCAAGAGGATGAGAGAGTAGAGTGGAGATGGAGCTAGGAATTTCGGGTATTCCTCTAAGGTTACAAGTGGCAGGAAAAGCTAAGGGTTAGAGGCCTATTTATAGTGCAGATAGGATGCCCTAGATAACCCTAATCTGAATATAATATTAATATTTCAAATTGGTAATTATCCAGCTCTTTATTTATTCACATGGGATAATCTAGAAACCCTAGAGCATCCATATAGAAACCTTCCACCTCCTTTCCGAGGAAGGTTCTGGAACCTCTTGCTTAACTATTGAACAATTCCACTTTAGCCCCTACACGTTTAATTAACTCTTTTAATCCCAAAATTAATTCCAATTAATTTATAATTAAGTATTAATTAAATATCATAATTTCTTATTAATAAATTTTTCTCATAATATATTAACAAATTATTTATTTCAATTTATTTATCAAATAATAAATTCAACCTCTCTCTCCAAAAGTCATCATGTCCAGTTGCTAGTTTTGGAGGAAACGCAAAAGGACTGTGCTACCATCAATTCAAGTATATACCAATTATACTTATGGGCTTAGACACTTAATCCAACAATCTCCCACTTGGATAAGTCTAATACCTATAATTGCTAGTATAACTTCTAAATGGATTAACAAATTGTACCTCTCAAAGCCGCTGTCGAACTCTGACCTAGCCAGTTACATGTCCTAAAATAAGTGATCATATAATCCTCCGTTCTGCAACATATCATGTGGAAAAATAACATGGAACATAATCAATCTCATTTTCCACTACTTTGTGTTCCCGATTTCTCATTTATAATGACAAAGAACTAATAATCGAACACATCAATTTAGTCTCGATCGAGGCCGACAATATAAGTCAACACCAAATCATCGATGGGCCCAAGATATCGCTTTTCCCATTAGGGAAAAAGGAATAGATAAACTTTGACTTATATGATGGTACTATTTACTCACCAAATAAAGTACAACAATATCTCTATTTAAAGATTATAAGATATTATTGTCTTAGAATTACTCGTGATAAATTCCATGAACTAATTCTCTGAGTGTGGGTTAATTCAACACTTAAATCCCCATTTCAAAGTACTCATGAATACTGCAGCAAGGTCATTGCTATGTCTAAAACTCTTGAGACAACCTACAATCGAAATCATGAAAGTGTTGATTACCTACTTACTTCCAAAAGTATGATCGACTTTGGATGTTTGAATAATCGAATTATTCGGGAAGAAAAACAGGCAAAATGAAACACAATAATAAACAATTGACAAAAGATAGTAAAGAATACTCATAAATAGTTCTCAATTACTTAATCATCAAAAGTTAATTACATTTATTTTGTTACAAGCTTGTAAATACCTATCTAACTACTAAAACTAATGTCATCTTTCAGACCAACGCTCCTTGCATGCTTAACATGCTTAATCCTACTTAGACCCTTTGTGAGGGGATCTGCATGATTAACTTCCGATGATACCCTCTTCACGACGAGAGGTGCTTCTTCTACTCTATGTTTGATAAAATGGTATTTTGTGTCGATATGTCTTGATCTACCATGATCTCTTGGTTCCTTTGTCAAGGCAAATGCTCCTTCATTATCACAAAAAATCTCCATTGGCTCCTTTATGGATGGCACAACTCCAAGGTATCCATTGATGTTATTCAAAAATATAGTTTCCTTCGATGCTTCGCTTGCTGCTATGTACTCTAATTCATAGGTAGAATAAGCCACCGTCTCCTGTTTGGAAATTCCCAAGTTACCGCTCCTCCATTAAGGTAAACATGCAGCCAGATTGAGAACGGAAGTTGTATCTATCTGTTTGAAAGCTGGTGTCACTATACCCAGTTACTCTCAAGTCATCACTGCCACCAAGCACAAGGACCCAGTCCTTAGTCCTTTGTAGATACTTGAGAATATTCTTAACCGCTATCCAACGAGCTCTACCTAGATTTCCCTGATATCGAATAACCATGCTCAAAGCAAAATCCACGTCAGGGCGAGTACTTGTCATAGCATACATGATCGATCCAACAACAGAAAAATAAGGAACTCGACTCATTTCTACTATCTCTGCATCAGTACTCAAGCTCTATGTTTTACTCAGTTTGATATTACTCTGGATAGGCAGTTCTCCTTTCATGGAAATTTCCATGCTAAAATGTTTTAACACTTTATCCAAATACGTACTTTGACTAAGTCAAATTAGTCTTTTGCTC